TTACTTCCCTCGTTCTTTTTCTTGGACTTGACTTTAACCTCCAGAGAACATTGTGTTCAATCAGGTATGCACAGAGATGCAAGTCAGATGCCTTAAGAGGCAGTTCAACTGTTTCTAATGAACTGCACACTGAATTCAGCCATGTCCTATAAAATATACTAACCTTCAACCCAGTTCGTACTTCCAAAGGCATTTTAGTAAGAGGGAAATTCCCGAAGTGTGGCTTGAAAGTACACACTGTGTGTCATTTGAATGCATGGCACATTACTAACTAGGGGGATGAGCATTCAACTAGATGACAAAGTTTTCTCCAGTGCTCACTCAAGTTAATACAGACTTCCCCACTCACTCGTCTTCATCATGGAGTAGGGAGACTTCTGACAGCTTCCAACTGGAAGTGGTTACAATGGAACCATACAGCCATGACCCTTAACACTTCACTCTGAGTGCCAGATTTCACCCCAGTTAAATGTTTCCTCTACAAGAGGTGTCTCTTCATAACAATAGAAACCCTAACTAAGACAGATGGAAAAATGTGAGCTTGGTCAGGATAGGTTATGATTGGGCTAGGTAGATAGACAGACTGACACAAGGAATAGCTTCCCCAAGAGTAAAGTTATAAATACAAAGCCAAGCCATTGAATAGCTGGGATGCAGCTCCAGTGCCCACCAAGAACAAATTAGATTGTTTTTTGTTTAAGATTTGTTTTTCATTTATTTGTGTGTGACCTTACTAATTCATGTGCATCACGGGCATGCAGGAGCCATAAGAGGTCTTTGGGTCATCTAGAACTGGAGTTACCACCATTGTGAGCTTCCCTGTGGATACTAGGAACTGAATCCTGGCCCCCTGCAAGAGCAGTGAGCACTCTCGCCTACAAAGCCATCACTCCAGCCCCAGGTTGACATTTAAGAAAGAAGCAGAAGAAGGGAACAAGAGTTTCTTGCTTAAGAAACTGGGGGAGGGGAAAAGTGGGTTAAACATAGAGACTATGCTAAGAGGCACCAGAGTATCATGGAATTCCATGGAAGGGAGGAACGATGCTCCAGGGTGAGGTCAAAAGCGTGGTTCTCAGGGAGTAGGTAGGATTCCAGCAAGCAGAGGTTTGTGCCCGTCACACAATGATACTCCTTCAGAATACACCCATCAGGCCACATGGCAAGGAGCAGAGGATTAAGCCAGGGCATTACTGAGGCAAAATCCAAGGGTAGCCTGAACCCCAATCATATCATAGATATAGCTCAGTGGTACAGAGCTTGTCCAGCAAGTTCAAGGCTCTAGGTTCAATCCCAGTGAGACATAACAGGAAGGAGGGAAGGAAGGAGAGAGGGAGGGAGGGAGGGAGGGAGGGAGGGAGGGAGGGAGGGAGGGGAGAGTTAGACTGGGGCCTGACCAATTGAAAGAGTAGAGGACCACAACACAGGTGGTGTGGTAGTTTGAATGTAACAGGCTCCCTATAATCTCATAGGAAGTGGCATTATTAGGAAGTGTGACTTTGTTGGAATGGGTGTGGCCTTGCTGGAGGAACTATGTCACTGTGGGACGGGGTTTGAGGTTTCCTATGCTTGGGATACCACCTAGTGTCCCAGCTCAACTTCCTGTGGCCTGCAAAATATAGGACTCTCAGCTGCAGCATCATGTCTGCCTGCATGTTGCCATGCTCCTCACTGTGACAATGGACTGAACCTCTGAACTGTAAGCCACCCCAATTAAATGTTTCCTCTACAAGAGTACCTGGGTCATGGTGTCTCTTCATAGCAATAGAAACCCTAACTAAGACAGATGGAAAAGTGTGAGTTTGGTCTTGGGCATGTTGTTTGTGACCTGCCTTTACTACTAGCTAAGTGGACAAGACTGTCAGAGTTAGGTGCTCAGAGAAGTACCACCTAGAGACTGAATCTGGCTGTTCGGGATTGCGGGGGGGGGTCTTCCACCCTTTTCAGACACATCAGAGACTAAAGGAATGTCCAGTTATCAAGAAAAGACACAGAAGAAAGTGGGTGTGCTGGCTGGTTTTATGCCAACTTGGCATGAGCTAGAGTCATCTAAAAGGAGGAATCCCCATTGAGAAAATGCCTCTGTAAGATCGGGTTATAGGCAAGCCTGTGGGCATTTTCTTATTTGGTGATTGATATAAGAGGGTCCAGCCCACCATAGGTGGTTCTGTCCCTGGGCTGGTTGTCTTGGGTGTTATCAGAGAGCAGGTTGAGCAAGCCACGAGGAATAAGCCAGTAATCAGCACCCCTCCATGGCCTCTGCATGAGCTCCTCCCTCATGTTCCTGCCCTGACTTCCCTGGATGGTGGACAACAAGCTATAAGCTGAAAAAACACCTCCCCAAGTTACTATTGATTATGTGTTTCATCACAGCAACAGAAACCATGAGACGTGGGAATCTGAAAACTGAGCTTAGGAATTGAGTTAAGAAACTAAGAGCCTTGCTGGTGTGGAGTCTGGGGAGAGAAAGGGAGAGGGACCTGGAATTGACATGTGAAGCAACCTTGTTTCTAATTTAAATTTAAATTTAAAAATAAAAATAAAAGAAACTAAGAGCAACAGTTTAGGATGTGGTGGACCAGCCAAGATGTGAGCTTTGATACCAGGACATGCAAGAAATCCCCTCTGAATGAGGAGGGTAGAGCCAATGTACCTTCAACTTGGTTCCAGATCTCTCAGAAATCCATAGGCGACAAAATCTCAGAGGCACACTCAGGATAGACTCCCCAGCTACAAACTTTAGGGGGGGAGGGGCAGGGGTATCAAGAACCTTATCTCACAAGCTGTGAAGACTGAGATGTTTGCCTGCAGACAGAGGAGGAAGGCATAACATGTTGTAGATCTCAGATGAGCAAAGCAGCCAGTTCCATGCTCGGCAAGGAGCACCTTCCTTCATTCCACCCCACCCCAGGGCCAAGGTTCAAGTTCACACCAGGAAGCTACCAAAGAATTTACCCAGACCTCCACTGTGAGCAGGGCTTCCAAACTTGCGGGAAGTTTGCCCAGACTCGGGCTCTCCAAGTCCTCAGAGAGTGATTCTCGAATCCCCATGAGGTGGATTCCATCCCTGGTCCCAGTCTCCAAAGCTGGCCTGTAGATTAATGGAAAGGTTCCATACCCCCCCCCCAGCCCCGGCCTAGTCTCCAAAGCCCACCTGTAGATTAGTAGAAGCACAGGGGAGAGATGTTGGCTCACTGTATCCCTTCCCAGCATTCCACTCTGAAATGCAAATCAATACTCCAAGGGTTCAGGAGCCCCTAACTCTTCCCAAATCCATCAGTGTCTAAACCAAAAGTTCCCATTACCAAAATCTGCTCATTTTGACTTTTTCAGATAAAGTAACCCCTCCCCCATCACACTATCACCGAGAAACAGCACCCAAAGCTCAATAAAACAATCTTACACAATGGCATTGATGGGTGACCCCTCACTTCTAAATAGGAATTAAAGAAATACAATTAATATTTTACAGTAGCTGGGGTTTCATGTATGACATCAGCAAAAATGAGCCCTGCCTGCCAGTTACTAATTTCTCATGACTACAAAGTCCACTGCACTTCTGCAAAGGGCAGTTAGTGTTTGACAGCATTTTGTGTAATTCCTCAAAAATACAACTGCAAAGTTAAGCACAGGACTGGCAGGGAGCAGGAGGGAGAGCTCATGCCATCCTTCGTGTTATAAATGACCATTAGTCACCAGAATAGCAAGCCCACTTCCACAGACATGGTGTTTATTCAGTATATGCACTCTAAAAACTAGAATTTGCATGATTTAAATTCTAAGGAGTGAGCCTTAAGCTGGACCCTAATCGGTGGGAACTAATAATTTGTTTGTTTTTTTCTTCAAAAGCTTGTAGGATCCTGTTGGCCCCCATTGTCCTCACCCGCACTCCTGCGATTGTTTTTCTAGGCCAATCTGTCCACTGAGCTGATCTGGTTCAGAACTTGTTGGTTCCCTTAAAAGATGGGCAGATTGACAACACTTAGGAATCACTATTATAAAGGTGCCAGTATAAAAAGATACACATCTAACACGAAACCTAGACCACAAGCAAACCCAGATTTTGTGAAGCTGGCAGACAATGTCATTTAGACAATATCACATGACCTGCAGCCCCACAGCATGGAGTCAATTCAATAGGCCAGCGCTGTTCTGCCTCAGCTGTCTAAGACTTTAATTGAAGTGTTTAGAACAGGCCTGGCACCGTAGTTTAGGCTAAAGTGCTGCTTGCTTAAAGCATGTTTAGAATTAGTCTTTATCTTCAAGGTATTCAGAACCAGTGGCTAAACCTGGCAACTGCCTCATCAGTGAGGAATCCCTTCAACTAGAGATAGCATTGTGGAAACTAAGATGTTGGTGAAGCCACAAGCAAGCTGTAGTCGGTTCTGTGTTTTTATGCCCATCTTGTACTGTGTCTGGGTCTTCAATCCGATGACTAATTACTGATGGTGGAGGCAAGCCAACCCTGCCTCTGAATGAACCTCTAAACACAGCTTAAGCCCAAACAGCTCAGGAATGAAGTTTTGACACCTTTGCACTAGATGCAAGGTAACCTTGTGCCACTAGCAAGACGAGTTTTACTGGATTAACACGAAGTTCTTGGAGGGTGCAATTACTGTCTACAGCTTGAGGACAAAGGTGTTGCTGTCACTCACCCTCTTTATTCCGTCCCTGAAGCTACTTCTAACAAATCTTCCGGCCCTTACTTCTAGGAACTTCGTAACGCCCAGGGAAAGGCGCTGGCTTCTTTCCTCACTGGAGAGTCCTGTGTTCTTTTCTAGGGACCCTTTTCTAGGCGCGTGGGGACCGTGGGATTTCCCTCCAGTTTCTAACTTCATTTCAATGGGGAATCCCCGGAGCTGCTGAGGGGTGTCCCCTCCGCGAGTTTTAAGTGCTGGGTGACCTTGCAATGGGGTTCAAGTGCGGTTTCCTGGAAGTGACCCTGGCACTTCTAAGGCCCTCTGTCCCCCAAGGTGGCCCCCTGCCTGGCCCCTCGCACTCACCAGAAGTAGGTTGTGCGCAACCAAGTACCCGAGCCTGGAGCTGCCCCGCACGCCTGGGGCCAGGCGCCCAGTGGCGTACCCGTGCCAGGCCACCACGTACGGGTTGTCAATGGTGATCCAGTACTTGACCTGGCCACCGAAGTGGCGAAAGCAGAGCTCGGCATAATCCCTGAAGTGGTCAGCCAGAGCGCGATTGGCCCAGCCGCCATAGGCGTCCTGCAGGCGCTGCGGCAGGTCCCAGTGGTACAGGGTGACCACCGGCTGCACGCCCAGCTCCCGCAGCCGCTCCAGCAGTCGCCGGTAGTAGCGCAGCCCCTCGCGGTTAGGGGTGCCCGCGGTGCCATTGGGAAGCACCCGTGCCCACGAGATGGAAAAGCGGTAGTGAGTGACCCCCAGCTCTCTCAGCCCCTCCGTGTCGCGGTAGACGTTGTTGTAACTGTCGCTGGCCACATCTCCAGTGGAAGGCAGAGGAGGCCACGGGGCACCCGACGGTGCCACAGCGGTCGCGGAGTCGCTCAGGGAGACCGGGGGGTGATGGGTGAACGTGTCCCAGATGGACGCACCTTTACCGTGCTGTCGCCAGCCACCCTCGGTCTGGTAGGCGGCGCTGCCCACCGCCCAGAGGAAGCCGTCGGGGAAAGTGTCGTGGAGGAGGCCAGCGGCCTCGGGAGAAGGAGGGCGCGCGAAGCGAGCCCAGGTCTGAGCGCCCTGACCCGGCTCAGCGCGCAGGCAGCGGGCGCGCAGGGCGAGCAGCAACAGATGCAGCGACAGCAGACGGAGCAGCAGCAGCCGCGGCAAGCAGCGAGGAGGGGCGCGGGCTGGCATGCTGTGGAGCCGGGAGGGCACCGCGCCGCGCCCCTTTATGCAGGCGCCCCGCCGCCCGCCCCCTGCGGTGCCCACCCCGCTCCCGCCGCCGGGCGGACAATGATTACCCAGAGTAGGCGCCGCCCCCCAACCCCCCGCCGGCCTAGTACCAGGCGGGGGAGGGGGGCGGGACAGGGGCTCAGGCAACCAGGGTGCTGGAGAGAGCACTGTTGGTGTCTTCGGGTCGTCGGAGAACAAGCACCTGCTGCGCCCAGCTCGGGAAGCAGCGCATCCCACATCGTGCAGGTCACATCCTACAATCCCAAATCCTCCATCTTCGACATGTTCCCACGTCACCCAATCCCCACACCCACTCCCTTCGCCTTCCTGGGACTAGTGTTCATGGAGGACAGAGGCAGCTGCCCAACTTTACACGACGTTTGGAGTCACCGGGTAAAACACCTGCTTTCCCATTTCTCCCATCTTGAGCTTTCTACCCAGGGAGAGCTTCCAGATGACATCCCTGGAGAGCTTTGCCAGTGTGTGAATGTAGCGGGAAGACCGGGTGGGGAATTCGTGTTGGAACTTTGCCGGGTCTGAGAAAGTTCTGGCAGTTCCCATCTGATGAGGGAGTCCCTCATGCCGTCCGGAAAGGCAGGAGTTGGCCCTGCCTCAGATTCCAACCTGGGAAGCCTTCAAGAACACACAGTGGGTCTTAGATTTATTGGTTGCCTAGGGTTTCTGTTTCCCTTCCTCTCCCCTCCCCTTCTATCAAGTCCTCTCCCCTCCTCTCCCCCCCCCCATCCCGTTATCCTTTAACCCTTTAAATCCTCAGTGTTTCTTAATTAGATACCTCCGAATTCTCTGGTGAATTTGTAGCGGTGGATGGGTTGTTTGCTGAAAGAAAGAAAAACCCCAAACGACTCGGAATTCAACTGCCACAACACAGATTCCCATTTATTATCCGTTGTCGTCTTTCTTATGACTATTCATATTTTAGCTTCCAGCCCCGACTTAGCAAGTGGGGTCTCCATGCAAGAATGCTGGATGGGAGACCTCTGTCCCCACCACGGACACTCACTGTGGAGGGAAAGTTAGCCCAAACATTCCCATGCCTAAAATGAAATAGAGGCAGCACACGGTTTCCACTTCTCTCAAAGCCTTTTAAACAGAAGTTTCAAGCCACAGAATCCATCACACACCTCTCTGTATGTATGCATACATCATATACACATACAGACATGTGATTTGTGAACTATATGCGTTTGTTGGGGAGTGTCACAAAGCACAAAGGACAAATGTACACTAAGGTGAATACATAATGGGAAGCCCAGGAAAACAAAAGACCCGGCCATCCTCTTCAGTCAGTTACAACTCAGCCTCTGGCACCGCCCACGGAGGGATGAGTAATCCCCTTGTAGAGTACAGGCACTCTGAGAGTGACTGTCCTCAGAACGTCATACAAATTGAAAGCCAGAAAAGTTGCAAGTGTTACAGTGGGAGATGTTACAGTGCCATCACAGGAAACTCCTTCCTGTAGTTGATGAACTATTCTCAACTCCAGCTAGCATACATTATCACCATTAGTGAGCTGAAGTCACCAGACAGGAATAAGGATACCACCACTCTGTTCAGTGTGGCATTTAGATATCTCAATAAATGTAAAGTTAACAAACGATGCTGCCTGAGCAATTAAAAAAAATCACTCCCTTCCCAGTCACTGGCTCTTAGCAGGGGATGAAACAGAACACTTGTCTGCCCACAGCATCAAAACGACAGCCTCTTCTAGACCAGAGGCTTCATGAATCTTAAGGAAAACAGTCGGGGTTGGGTGTCTACTCACTTCCTAGTGTTTAGTCTGCTTGCAATGAGCAGACTCCATCAATTGTTTTTGTTTGTTAAAAAAAAACTTATACCAACTATACAAGAAAGAAAAGAGAATTTCCCTTTAGCAGTGATTAAAAAGGTGATTAAATGCTTCCTACTTGAAATTCATCTACAAGGGAGACGTGTGGTGTATGAATATTCTAGATGGACCCCAAAATTACCAAACTTGGTAGCAGGGCTCCTAGACCACAGGTAATTCAACTGAACATAAGCAGTTCCGTGGATATTAAACTTGATTTCCAGAACTTTCTTATAAATTTTTTTTCAGATTTATTTTTACTTTATGTATGTGTTTGCCTGCATGTATGTATGTGTACCATATGTGTTCAGTACCCACAGAGGTCAAAAGAGGACATCAAAACCCCTAGAGCTACAGTTGCAGCTAGCTGAGAGCCCTGTGAGTGCTGGGAACTGAACCTTGGTCCTCTGCAAGAACAAATGCCCATAACTGCCATGTCATCTCTCCAACTCTTGATTGTCCTTAACTGATGAGTCATCTCTCCAACCCTTGATTTCCAGAACTTTCTGTTTATTGAGGTTCTGCTTGTGGTTATTAAGTTCTGTACTTCCAAAGTGTGAGTAAAGACTCCCTGTTCCTTTTCACATATGGGGAGATAGGTGGGATGAAGTAAAACATGAAGCAAATCCATCAGTCAATCAGAGGAGTACTAGGAACCCCAGGATAAAGTGTTTTTCTGCTTAGAAGACAAGACTTCTAAAATGAAGACATGATCATATTTTATTTTATTTGCAAACATGTAGGCTTCCCAGGCCTTGCAATCTGAAATACCATGAGTGACTGATGATTGTCTCTGAATATGAAGAAAATGTTACAATCACAGCAAAGGAAAAGACTCAGTAAATTTTGCTTATTAATTTTGGCCCTAGTGATGAGACTAGTTTCAACAGGCAAACTGAAGCCAGCAGGAATGGAGAGATGGCTCAGTGGTTAATTTGCCTGCTTCACAAGTGCAACGACCTGAGTTTGGGTCCCCAAAAGCCCCATGTAAATGCCTAGTGAGCACAATGGGCTGCCTGCAATTCCATCCCAGAGAAAGCAGGATAGCAGACTATGCATATCTGGGAGCTCCAGGCTTTACTGAGAAGCTCTGCCTCAGTGAGTGCAGTGGAAGAGCAATGGAGGATGATTACCTGAGAGTGTCCTCATGCTCACATCCTCATCGTACAACACAGACCGGAAAACATGAGCAACACTCTGTTCATCCTCTTCTCCCTCATCTACATCCCTGTATCCACTCTCCTCAGACCTGTTCTCCTGCCTGACCCTGGGAACACAGGGCCCTCTGCAGCCAAGGGAACCTGAGTCTGGTATACCCAAGCACAATGTGACACTCACAAGTTCTCAGTTCACCAGTCACAGACCTTCTCCTTCCATGGGCCTACATTTCTATCCACAGCAGCAAGTTCATGGAGTCACAGCGGTAAGTCATGTGACTCCGAGGTGCTGGAGACAACAAGGCTCGAGCATCCCTACTTTTAAAGGCCAACTGGAAAAAATCAAGAGCAAGTTTAAAATAAGCGTTGAATTCGTCAGGTGTCAATAAATGACACCAAGAAGTTAGGAGACAAGAGACATTGCCTTGCTCTGAGTTTTTTTTTAATAGAGACAACAATTTTAATAGAGACAACAATAAGTAGCCAGTCAATTAATTTGGAAGTAGCGTACAGACTTAGCTGAAAAAGAAGCTACCAGAATCTAAAGGATCACTCGGAAAGAAGCTACAGTGAAAACGCAAAACTGAAGAAGGAAGACACACAGGGGAATGTCATCTGAATATGGGGTTCTGGAGAGGACAGAAGATTAAGAACTGCTTAACTGAAGATTTTAAAAGATACACCCATAGCCATACTTAAGTACATAAAGTGTGGTTCATTTGGGAAAAGATGAGTTCAATGTTCAGTAGGGCATCAAGTGTTTGTTTGTCAGGGTACCCACGGAGATATACAGTCAAAGCTCAGGGTACAGACTGAAGAACTGGACAACACATTTTGACTCCAAGTTATGGGATAAAGTGAGTGTGGTAAATGAGAAACAATTAAAAGCCAAGGGCTGAATGCTGGCCGGTGTGCATCTCCATCTGGGGGGATGGATGGGAGATAGTGAGCTGGTTTCTTTTCCATCAACTCGGCCCACACGAAAGACAGACTCTCAGTAAAAAAAAAATGCCTCTGTAAGACTGGCTTGTGGTCAACCACTGGGGCATCTTCTTGATTGATGATTGATGTGAGGGGCCCCAGTAAGCAGCACATCTCCATGGCCTCTGCATCAGCTCCTGCCTCCAGGTCCCTGCCCTGCTTGAGTTCCTGTCCTGACTTCCCTCAGTGATGTGGCCAGAGAGTTCTAAGTGGAAATAAAACCTTTCAAACAAACAGCTTCCTCCCTCCCCCAAGTTCCTTTGGGCATGGTATTTAATCATGACAACAGAAACCCTGACTTTGACAGATGGAAATAAATAAATAAATAAATAAATAAATCACAGAGGAGGCCCAGGAATCCCAGAATGAAGGGCTTTTGCAGTTTAGGAGATAACAATGTGGGGGAAACAAACAAACAAACGAAAAACCATGATCACACTTGTCAAAAATGTGCCCTGATCTAGATAGAGGTTAGCTCATCTGGTGACTTTGGGGACAGATCTTTATCAGTTGTGGTGGAATGAAGCCAGGTTATATTGCAAGGTGTTAATGAGGATCTGCAGGAGGCAAGAAGACAGGGCACACTCTTTGTAGAGGTTGGCAGAGAAAGAAAGAGCAAACATGCCACTGGGGGTGCTACAGAATGGAGAAAACATTCCGGAGAGTAAACTTGCTGTCTATGTGTGTGCAGATAAAGGAGGGCAAAGGAGAAGATGCTCGGCGTTCAGGAGCGCCATGAAGCAGAACAGCAAGGCAACACCAGCTGTGGCCCAGACCACCCTACTGTGGTCTTTTTAAGCCTCTTGGCAATAACGAAAAGGCCAGAAACCCAGGTGTGCACAGCTGGAATGCACGATGGAGGGTAATAAGCACGTTGGGGGGTGAACAAGAAGCTGTGATAAGAGCAACAGAGAAGAGCTTTGAGAAAGTTCGAGACAGCGGCGTTGTTTGCTTCTCAGGAGGGCGACGCTGCAGGG